AAGCACTACATAAAAGGGATCTAGAAATATGAGGGTGTTATTTTTTCATCCAGGTTAAAATTTGAATAGTCAAGTTTTTAATACCAAACCTCTCAGATGAAATGCAGGACACTCTTTTTGTCAGCAGGAGGTCAGAAAGTTAGGAGTGAAGATGAAAGAAGTCCTAGGTTTAACCTCAATGGAATCGCCTTTAATTTTAGTCTGGCCAGGCCCACGAAAGGGTGCAACATGAGCTAATTGCAACACCGTGTTTAATAGGGATTCTCTTCATGTCCAAGACCAGTCATAACTTGACGAACAGTATTTCCAGCAAACAGCTTACCCCTTTTACTTTCTCCAAAAATGGTCCATTTTCATTATTTCTATAAATCTGCTTGAAAAATAGTATGATTCTCATTGCTGCCCAGCAAGCACAAGGCCCTGGGTTCAATCCCCAGCACCAGGAAAAAAAAAAAATCAAAACTCTGATTATTATGGGCTGGCCTCACTTTTTGCTATTATACCTGAAGTATTTACCTGCTTAATAAAAATAGAAACTTTGTGCAACCAAATTGTCAGGAGCTTTTCCACTGATCTAAGTACACACTCAATTCCCAAGGGCACAAAAAGGACTTCCAAGTTGCAAAATCACAACAGGTCCTTTCGCCTGCCTCCATATGCCCTGTACCTTCCTCCAGGGAGGGAGAGAGAGACGCGCACACACACCAATATTGTTGATTCATTGGGTTTGTTTGGGGACTGCTTATACTGTGTGGGTTAGGGTTTCAAATTACTATTTGCTCTTTTAACTTCTTAGAAGGGTAAACAACTTGAAAACAGTTAAAACCAGTAGCAAAAGAAACTGGCTTCTGACCTACTCAGTTAGCTTCATTCTTCTTCCTCAGACTTGCACAGTTGTTTTTGATGATGACTAAACAAAAGAAGCGGTAAGCTGTTGTGTTGCATGTTAAAGCTATTCTTCTGCTCAGTGGTGTGACAGCCAGACCCTACATTGGTGACTAATACTGAATCAGTGGTTTTCTAAGCGCTGAACTGATGGTAAACTAAAGAGGTCTAACTGAAGGTTTTCTGGATGAAGACTCCCTACTATAAATAGGGTTTCTTTCCTTGGTCTCTTTTTCCACCCCCAGCTTCCAACACCCAATACCCATATCCTAAAAGAGAAAATGGACAATTTGTTCCAAATAAATTTAGACAGGTGGGAAAAAGGGTCATCAGGGATCTCACTGTCCCATTCCAGTCTCTCCCACTCTCAAACAAACCAGGCACCTTTTTTTTTTTTTTGTATTGGGAATGGAACTTGGGGGCACTCCACCACTGAGCTATATCCCCAGCCCTTTTCATTTTTTTAGTTTGTGACTAAGTTGCCAAGGTTCGCCTTGGATTTCAGGTCCTGTTATTGAGAAGAACTTGAACTTAGGGCAAGAGAGATGCTATTGCTGCTGCCATGGATATTACCATCTGGGGTGAAAGCATTTTCTATTTAAAACTTTCTGAAACCACTACTTAGCATTCAGGGGGAAAAAAAAAAAGCTTACCCTCTTAGTGATCAGAGCCTAGTCATTGTGTACTATATTTAAAGGCCACTTATTATTTAAATTTCTTAGCCTGCAAAAATAAAATATCATTTTGTCAGTTCAAAAGTGGTTTGGAAAACTACAGGAATATGACATTTGCATTCTGCCAATAAGTCACACCAATTCTAGTGACAGTAACAGTTTTTCTGATTTATTGATTGTATGCTTTCCACACTCTGAAGGAATCAGAGTCTAGAAGTTTCTCGAGGCAGTGGCTGTTGCTGGAAGGTGAATTGATGAGTCTTTGCGTTTGTCTGAGAGTCTGTTAACTGTAGAGTTGGCAGTTCGTTTCTTTCTGCAGTTTCCAATTTTAAGAGATAATGATGCAACCTATAATCTAAATACTGGACAAACTGACCTCATCAGATGTATGTTTTAAGAAGAATAAACATGAAAAGATGAGGTGAAGCAAATCTCAGTCTGTATCATAAAAAGAGGCCAAAGGAGGAAAGAAGTAGGGAGGGAAAGGAGTCAGGGAAGGAGAAAGATTTAAAACGAATTGGTTGCTTCACTCCTATAGTCAAGGAACTGGTTTCAGTGTGTGGACACATTGGAGTCAACTCATAGAGTTACTCCTTCAGCAAGTAAGTCTGTTGAAAAACTCCAAGGGATTCTTTAGAATAGATCCTGAAATTTGATGCATTTTGCACAATTGTTTTTGATGATAGCTAAACTAAAGAAGTGATATGCTGTTGTGTTGTATGTTAAAGCTATTTCTTCTGCTTAGGATTTGTTTAGTGGCTCCTAATGACAGTTTCAAATACAAAATACTTGTGGGACTACACATTGGTGCAACCACTCTGGAAAGCAGTATGGAGATTCCTCAGAAAACTTGGAATGGAACCACCATGGACCCAATTATCCCTCTCCTCGGTATACACACAGAAGACTTAAAATCAGCATACTATAGTGAAGCAGCTACATCACTGTTTATAGCAGCTCAATTCACAATAGCTAAGCTATGAAATCAACTTGGGTGCCCTTCAACAAATGAATGGATAAAGGAAATGTGGTATATATATATATATATATATATACACAATGGACTATTACTCAGCCATAAAGAATGAAATGATGGCATTTGCCGGTAAATGAGTAGGCTATCATGTTAAGTAAAATAAATAAGGCAATCTCAAAATATGAAAGGCCGAATGTTCTCTCTGATATGTGGATGCTGACTCACAATAGGTGAAGGGAGGGGGAGGGAGGAGTACAGGTTCATTGGATTGAGGGGAGGGAAGGAAGGGAGGAAGGATGGGAATAGGAAAGACAGTAGAATGAATGGACATAACTTCCCTATATTCATATATGAATACACGACCAGTGTGACTTCACATCATGTACAACCACAAGAATGGGAAGTTAGGGCCTGGGGCTGGGGCTCAGTGGCAGAGTGCTCACCTAGCATGCGTGAGGCACTGGGTTTGATCCTCAGCACCACATAAATTTAAAACAAAGATACTGTGTCCACCTAAAACTAAAAAATAAATATTTTTAAAAGAATGGGAAGTTATATTCCATGTGTGTACAATATGTCAAAATACATTATACTGTCATGTATAACTAAAAAGAAAAAATAAAATCAAATTAAAAAAAGGAAAAGAAACACCAAAATACTTGATGCAACAGAAACCCAGAGCTCCTCAGGACTGAGGGAAGCAAGAAGAAAGAAAATGAACTGGGGAAAGGAGACAGGCTTTGGAAAGGAGAGCCAGGGGAGGGAAGAGCAGCGCACAGGGAGGAGGGGAACAGACGTGCTGCAGGCCCGCGTTGCCTGGGCCACGCTCATAACTAGTACACACACTTGGAGAGGCTTGACCTGCTTGGGAAAGTGAGGGCTGCCACACGGCCCTCTGCTCAAGAGCACTGGCAACAGCAGCCACCACCAAGCCAGGAAGTAGATCCCATGACCCCACTCAGCTTTGGGCAGGCGCAGGTTCAGGAGCCTTCTGGCTTTCAGGCTGGTTAGCACTTTATTATTATTATTATTATTGGTACCAGATATTGAACTCAGGGGCACTTGACCACTGAGCCACATCCCCAGCCCTATTTCTGAATTTCATTTAGAGACAGGGTCTCACTGAGTTGCTTAGGGCCTCAGCATTGCTGAGGCTGGTTTTGAATTCACAGTCTGCCTGTCTCAACCTCTCGAGCTGCTGGGATCACAGGTGGGCACCACCACGCGTGGCAGGTTGGCACATTTTTGTGATGTGAATGATGTGAATGGACAGAAGCTCTTTCCTGGCAGGTGCAAACTTAGGTGAGATGAGGGTACAGTTAACAATCAGCAGACGAGTAGATGAAGAATAAATTGTTTTCTAGATTTGCAGCCTTAGAACCAATGCATCAAGATATGAACTCTAACCTGGTGTGGTGGTGCACACCTGTGATCCCAACAGCTCTGGTGGCTGAGGCAGGAGGATTGTAAATTGGAGACCAGTCTCTGCAACATGGCAAGGAATCTGTCTCAATTTTTTAAAAATTAAAAAATAATTTTAAAAAAAAGAACTTCTGAGAGTTGTGCTTTGTTTGCTTCATTCAAGTACCTTTTGTCCTCCGAATGTGTATAATACAAAAAAGGAGTCCAACCAAGCAGGACACATTCTGGGGCAGCATGCCATGCTGCTTGTGTAAAAGGGGACCCACCAGGTTGTGGGGGATGAAGGCAGAACACTACCATCAGCCTGAAGAACGCCACCTTTTTCCTGAAGGTGCCATGCGAACTATAGAACATGTTGTGATGTGAACACGTGGGTCATGTGATGAAATTACAAAAGAGTAATCTGAGAGCAATTTCAAGATGGATTTAGGGAGGAGAGAGGGGAAGGGGAAAGAACACTACTGAGGTAGTGGGTGCAGACATCCAATTTAACTTCCCTAAGCTAAATAAATACAGGAAGTGGGGTTTCCAGGATTGTAACAATCAAGATGCCTGAAACATGGCCAACAGCCAAAACACCTCAGGTCCCCCTTCCTCTAATTGGGGGAGTGTGGTGACAGTGGATATAAAGCTTAGACTAACAGATATCACTTGGGAAAGAACAGCAAACTTGGCAACTGCATGGATATAAGGAATTGAGAGAGAGAAAGAGACCCCCAAACGAAAAGCTGGCATTTGACCTTTAAAAACCAGCTTTTAGGTTGGCATAGCTCAGTAGTAGAGAGTAAGGCCCAGAGTTCAAATCGCAGAAATAAAACAAGACATAAAACCTCAAAAGAACACTTAGGTAAAGGAGGGAGGGAAGAGGATCAGTTCTGACAGAAAGATGAGTACACTTTATAGACTGAATTCGGACTTTAGAACTAAAAGAATATGAAGCAAGAGTCCCTGGCAGTGGGAAAATAAGGAGTGAATTTGCTTTGACCTTTCCGTTTCCATGTCCCTCATTTTCCCTGGGCCCTTCCAAGGACAGATACCTAGCATTTGTTTGTAAGTTTTTATTGTTGTGCTTTAAAAACCTCCCTCTCAAGTTGTAGGCTTCAAGCCCCACCAAAGCAGGACCATCCAGGTTGGAGTGAAAGGCAATTGGCTTGGGATAATAATGGATGATGGGAGATCAAGACTTGGAAGAGGCTTATGACCACCCTCAAAGGAAAAGAAGGGTCCTCAGGGAAGGCCAGAAAAGCAGATGGCAGGACCCTGCAGAGATCAGAGGGAGGAGAGGCAGGGGTGGGTCGCCCAACTTGACCACTTAGTGATATCTTTTTTTTTTTTTTGAGACAGGGGTCTGGCTGTGTTGCCCAGGTTGGCTTAACCTCCTGGCTCAAGTGATCCTCCTGCCCCTGCCTCGCAGCAGCTGGGATCACAGGTGAGCCTCTCTACACAGGGCTAAGGTGACTGATTCAGAGCGCATGCTGGGCGGCCATGTTCCCAGGGCTGGAGGAGTGGGAAGAGGCAGCAGGTGTGGGCCCCCCTCGCAGCCGGGAAAGAAAGGTAGAGGATGCCAACCGTTCCTCACTTGTGGCACCCTGTCAGTCAACTTTTGCCACTCGAGTCAATATTCATTTGGGATTAATATCAGTATAAAACACAGGACTGTCTTTAATCACCTTTTCCGACTCTCGAGCCTTTCCATGATCTTACTAGCATCCGTTTCTTTTTCGGAGTGTACACCTGACCCATGACCAAGAAACGGGCTACTGGTGAGCAGGTTTGGGGTCTAGTTGGTTGGTCGCTTGGTCTACATTACTAGTTCCTCTTTTTCTATCCGAGGAGCATGCCAGGAATTCTGTCCTTTGGGTTCAGGCACCGGGGACCAGGTGGAGAAGGAGGAAGTCCCCAGGCACCTGAGCCTGGAAAAGCCTGGTCGGTTATCTGGGATCACCGAGTCAAAGGTGGCGATGACCTCATCCCCGCAGAGGGCGCCTCCCCACTCGGCAGCTGACTTCCGCCGGCCGATCTGCCCGGTGAGTTTTCTTTGACGACTCGCTTCTCACTGCCTGGCGTCACAAGTCACTGGAGGGGAAAAAAAAAAAAAAAAGATTAGACTGATTTCTCTGTTTCCCCCTGTGAAGAGCAGGAGGAGCGCTCCCCAGACCGCGTCAGTCCGTTCACCCAGGCATGGAAGAGACTTTTGCTTTCTGCTCTGTTTTTAATAAAACGCAAAGTTTCCTCTGTTACCATCATTGAGATTTAAAACAAACAAACAAATAAACAAAAAAAACCTACAAACTTACAGGTTGGCAGGCCCCAGGAAGGGGCGGACCGCTGGGGAAGCTCGGGCCCGCCAAAGTTCGGCCACCGGGCTGGGACAGTCCTCCGAGTGCTGCCCAGTGCTCCAGGGAGAAACAGGCTCTGCGGCGCGCGGGGATGCGTGAGTGTGCTGGAGGGTGTGCGTGCTTGCTGAAGTGTGTGCGGTGTGTGCGCGCGCGTGTGCGCAGGGGAGGGTGTCCTGGAGGCTGCGGCAGAGGCTCCTTTGTGGAAGCCGCTTGCCCGCTCCGAAGCCAGCGTGGCGCCTCCCTCGCCCGTTCCACTAGGACACCCGGCTCCACTCCAAGCCGCGCCATCTCCGTCTCCCTCTCCCCGACCTCCCTCCACAGCCCGCATCCGTCTTCGCGTGCCGGGAACAGCTTGCGAGCGCGGCTTCCAAGACCCGAGAGCCCGGGGCAGGTGAAGGCGAGCGCGGTGGCGGCGTCGGCGGCGCCCAGAGGGTGGAGGGGAGCGGGGGAGGCCGCCGAGCAGGAAAGGGCGTGCTGCCCTTCGCGGCCGGCGCGGGGAGCAGCCCGGTCCGCAGCATTGTTACCTGAGGCAGCGGCTCCGCCCCGCCCCGCTCCGCCTCGCCCTGCCCCCTCGCGGTCCTGGGGCGGCGGGGCCTGCAGTGACCCGCGGGAGTCGGCGGCGTCGGGAGACCGCGGCTGCAGGCTGCGGCCGGAGCCGGGCGCGGTGAGTGAGCGCCGAGCCCACCGGCCCAGGGGGCGGGGTGGGGCCGCGGGGACTCGGAGCCGCGGCGGGGGGCGCGGGACTGCCTTTCTCCAGCCTCCCCGCGAAGGCTGGAGGGGACGGGGGAGGCTCGAGCTCCTTCCGTCCCCGACCCCGGGTGACTTTGGTGGCCACCCGTTCCTGGCCGCAGAGGGCGGCGACCCTTTGCTTGAGGCGAAGACGCGCGGGTCTGGACCTGCAGCGGGAGAACCGGCTCGCCTGCGGGCTGCCTGCGGGTCGGATCCGGGCCGGCCGAGGGAGCTTCCCCACGACTGTAGGGTGTCCCTGCTCGTCGGGGAGAGCGAAGCCCGGCACCCGATGCGCCCGCAGCCGCGAGCGGCCCCTGCGACCGTGGGTGCGGGGTTGGCGGGACCGAATCCGGCGCCGCGGGCCGAGGAGCGGCGGTTCTGGCTCCAGCTTGCTGGCCCTGGAAGTTCACGTCCCAAGTGGCGCCCCTTGCTTGGGCAAGTGAGAGGAGGAGACCGGTGGGCTGGCGGGTCGCCACCCTCCAGACGCGGGAGGTCGCCAGGTCTGGGACGCGGGCTCCGGGTTTAACCCCCGACCCCCTCCCCGGCTGGAATCGCCAGGAGCCTCCCTTAGGCGTTTTCCTCGCCGGTTCTTCGCCGCTCCCTTTGGGCCGAGCGGAGCGCGACCGCGAGGTTTTTCTCCCCGACCGGGGACCCCGGGAAGAGTACTCGCCAAGGTCCGAGGAGGGGGCGTAGCCCGGAGCGGTGGCCGAGACCGGAAGACCCCTCTTTCTCTTTAAGCCCCCGACACCTCCCCCGTTGACCCCCTCCCCCATCTCTGGGACCTTTGGGCCGCGGCCCCCGCAGAGGGGCGGGCACTCGGGTCCGCGTGGGTGGGGGGCGCCGGGCCAGGCGGAGCGACCCCTCGGCCCGCCCCGACCGGAGGGACCTGGGGAGGAGCGAGCCGGCGGGGCGGCCGTCGCAGTGGCTTCTGCGGGAGGAGGGGAGACGACCGCTCGCGCCCCGGGGAGGCGAGGGTCGAGCCCTTCCCGGCCCCCTGTCCCCGCACTGCCAGCGCGCCCCTCTCCTGGGCTCCGGGGCCCCTGGCAGCGGCGGCAGAGCCCGGGCGGCCCTTGTGGGCGGTTATCAGTGCCGAGACGCGCTCCCGCCAGGCCCAGATAAGGACGTCGCTGGGGCTTGCGAGGCCCGGGACCGCCCACTCGCGTTTCCTCCGCTGCCCCGGAGCCCTGCTCCCCCGGGATACCGACGAGCGCGGCTAGGTGTCCCCTGCCAACCGGGGGTGTGCAGGGAGGTGACCGAGCCATTGGCATTTTGGTGAGTGATTCGGGCAGGGGAGGGGGCGCCGGGTTGGAGACCGAGGAAGTGGTGAACCTCTCTCCAAGCAAAGACCTAGGAAACGTGTGTCCAGATTGACTTTGAGAAGTCGAGAAGTCGTGTCAATGTTCAAACATCTGTTTGCACAGAAATGACTCCTTGAGTTCGGCCGTCTGTGACCCCCTTTGCTGACCTAAAGTTGTCTTCCTGGAATCAGTAGCTAACGCTTCCTTCCCTCTCTCAAGAGCATCCTTTGGCACTCAAGTGCTCCCCCCCCTCCACCTCGGTTTTGGGACTGTAAGAGAAGAAACTGAAAGTGCACATTTAGAAAAGGCGTTCCTGTGCTCTGGGGTGTTGCTGTCAGGGCAGCTGTGAATGTTTATGTGATGCGAGGGATTACACACGCTGTCTTGGAAATGCCTTCTCTTTATTTCTTTCACTGCTGGCCCAAGTGCTAAATTGGACTTTCTAAGTGGGATCGGCTGTGTGGTTGCTCAGACTGACATTGCCTGCTTAGTAATTAAGAAAGGGTTTGAAAGACATGTCCTGGTGAAGGAGACTTCTTAAGGACGAAGTGCAGTGAGAACAAAAATTCTGCATTTTAGAATTATCTGAACTTTCCCCATCCTTTCTTCTCTCCCAGCTAAAATAGGTGTGCATTGTTCTCACCAAACCTGGCTCTCTCTGCCCAGGTTCATCTTCAGAAGCATGTGGGCCAGTCCTTCCTGCCCCCACATCATCTGTGACACAGCAGTGGAGGAGAAAGATTTTTCTGGCACTGGTTTTCCTTTTGATTATTGTTGGCCAAGGGGGTGAGTGTCAAGCTGAACAACAGTGCTGGCCTGACCCTCTTTCAGGAAAGGCACAGTGAGAGGAAGCCTCCATACTCTACTTTCTTCTCTCCTGCTCACTCCCTTCAAGAGAATGGAACCTCAGGATGTTTCTTAAGGACAGAGCAGTGCAGGCTTGTGCTAAAAAGCAGTTATGAGGCCACAGAGAGCTTCTCTGAAGACCCCTAGCAACATTCTCATTCTAAGCCTTTGCTTGCTGATTAAATGCATGATCATAGTATTGCCTTATTGAAATTTTACATGGTTAAAAGATGCTCAGCTGAACTACAGCCCTCCACCCCTGGAGCATCCATCACTTAAGCCCACCTCTGTTGGGTCATGGTTAGCATTCTATAGGACTTGAAAGCAAGTTATCAGCTTCAGCGCCTAATCATGACAGCTCTGCATTTGACTCAGGGCAGAGTCTTTGTCAGCATCAGCAACCATCCTCCCTGCTGCTGAGGTCCCCATACTGTAGGTGAGATGTTAAATACTAGCCTGTCTCTGCCTATCCTAGGGAGATTGATGGGATACTTGGCATGTCCCAGACAGAACCAGGTCTAATCCCATTGTCCCTACTGGCAGTTGCAAGATGTGAGAAACAGGTGGCGAGTGTCATCTGTCAGGGCTGTGGCTTCACCTGCATTTTCCAGGTGTACCTGAGAGTGTACACTGCATCTGTATTGTTCTTTGTGTATCCTTTCTCCTAACTCATGTGACTGCAAAAAGAGAATTCTGTCTGCACTCCCTTTGCCTACCACCTCTTTGACATTGGAAATACTGCCTGAGGGGAAAGCATTATTGAAGTTAACGGGTAGTAAAAGCATTAGCATCAAAAGCGTTAGCATCAGAGCTGATCATTACTGGTGAACTGATTCATGAGAAGCTGTTGGGGGGCTAGGACCCTTGTGTGTTACTCTGGGAAAAAATTAACCAGACAACTTATCAGAAACAATGTGATACATCTTCCTTTAACTTTTAAAAACAGCATTCTTTCCAGAGATGGGGCAGTAGTGTGAAGGGTGACAACTCTTAGCTAACAACATTTTTTTTTTTAATTTGGTACTTCCTCTGTGCAAAACACAATACTCAAAAGATGTGCACCTTTTTGCGCTTTGGTGTTAAAAGTGATGTTGTACAAACTTTGAGTGTATGGTGTTTCTCACTATCAGTATTTCTACATTTGCATGGGGGAGGTGTTAATGACATATGTGTACAGCACTGAATGACTTATTACTTTCTAGGTTGGAGATTTTTTTAACTTGTCACCTGGGGCTGGAACCTAGGGCCTGAAGGGTGCTAGGCAAGCACTCTACTACTGAATTGCTCCACAGCTATTACCATTCTTAGAGGAATAATATATAAATATGTCAGCATATCTGGAATTGGAGGTGAACTGGAGGATTTGCAGTTTTTCTATACATGAAATATTTTATGTACAGAAGTATTTTAAAATGCATAAGGATAAACTGCCAAAATTACCTGTGCAGTCTTGAAAAAAGAAGAGTTCAAATATAACTATAAACTGTAATTGACAATGAGTCATTGCTTTAGGGATGCCAGCTATGAAAACAGCCTAGTTATGCTCCTAATGATAATTATGAAAACTCCTTCTAAAAGCCAGTTGCTTCTCAAGTGAACTGTAAGTCAACTTGGATACATACTTTTCTTATTTAGAAGTTATCCAGGGCTGATAGCTGCATTATACTGTGAATGTACTTAATGCCACCAAATTTTATTAAAATGACTAAAATAGCTTTTTTAGAGTATCCTATGAATAGTTGGAAATCACATTTCCTACTTACATTATAAGAAATTTTCAAAACTTAAATTTTCAGGGGCCCCGGGGGTAGCTTGTGTTAGAGCCCATACTCAGCATACCTGAGTTCAATTCCCAGCATCCTTAAATACTCAAATGTTTCATAAAAATATTTGTTCTTGTAATGAAGAAATAATTTAATATGCAATCACTAAGTATTGAAAAAGAACAAATCTCATAAACCACAAACTTTGATAGACGAAAATGGGAATATTAAAAATATATTTTTTAGCAGCCAGAGATAACTTGGCATTTTATCTGTAAACCCCAAACATATTTCAAAGCCAATGGAATGCCTGTGAAAATAAAGGAAAATCATATATACATATGAGCAGCTTGTGATTGTTTTTAATAATAGCTGGCTGTGTGCCAGGCATCTTGGTAAGAACTGTGCATGTAGTAGCTCATTTCTTATACAAGCCAGTGAAACAGGTACATCCTCATTTTGTAGATAAAAGTGCTAAAATGTAGGTTAAGTAACCTATCTCTGCTCTGGTTGAGTATGTAGGAAGTAGCAGACCTGGGTTCTAGAGTCTCCTCTCTCACTTCCAAGCCAATCCTGACATATATGTGGCTGTACGTAAAACATCTCGTAATGTTTGATTAGTGTTATCACACAGTTTACCCCCGGGTAATCCAGCATTGTTTGACTAACTTGTGTTCATCAAGTCTGGGCTCCAACAACCGATGCTATAAAAGGATAATTGCACCCAGGAGCCCTGTGTGTAAGTTTGGCCCTTTGTGATCTGGAGGAGGCAGTCCCTTTCTCACACTCCCCATAGTTGGGGTGCTCTCTTGACACCTTGCACTTATTCCCTTCACCCACCCCCTACTCCATCACGCGCATCCTTGTATCAGAAGAACCGTAGTTGTTTTGACCCAGTTTCAGGTCAATAGCAACCCCAGAGCAAACATTTAAAGGTCCATTAGAACCCAGTAGAGTGAGTTATGTGGATAAGGGGCACACATTTGGCAGATGGGATATGGACAGTATGCCCTTGTGTGTATCTCTTCTTTGCTAGTGTCATGAAGCAGAACAGGTAGATGACACATTCTAATGGTTTCCACAGAGTGGCTTAACAAATGCAAGATGACAGCGTTGAAGGGGATGCTAGAGGTCATTTGACATATCCCCCTGATTTCACAAACAAGAACACTGAACTCTGGCCAGGTGGAGGGACCTGTCTGGTAATGTAAGCAGTCAGGCTTGCTTTAGACCCAGAATGTGCAGTGCTCACGCCTGGCCTTCTTTTCTCTATCTGAGGGAAGGCCACATCACCCAGTGGAGCAGGAACATAGTGACCCTGACTCCGGGGAAATGAGCTAGGCCATTATTTCATCATCACCAACTGCCCCACCTGTTGTGTTCAAGGTGGAAGATGCCTTTTGGCCACTGATTGGTAGGAGACAGGTCCAGACTGGAAAAAGGCAGGGTCACTGCACACCTAATGCTTCAGCAATTTGGGCAGTTTCCCTAGGGGTTGGGTATCCATTGCCCAAAAGAGAATGAACTAGTTGGTGAACAAGTAGTGATTCACAGAGCGAGCAGTACTTGCTGAACCTATAGGAGGCTCTCAGTAAACATACGCTGTATTGATTAATGGAAGGTTTCCAAATTGGACTCACTGATGCTACTTTGGCAGTGTTTCCTGGTTCAATTTGGTTCACATTCAGAGAAGTATTAGTTCCTCTTAATGCCCCTTGGGATATCTTCCTTGACGTGAATGCCCACCCATGTAGGAGGACTGGTTCTGGCCTCTGCGGGGGATAACTGGTATGAAAGCATTTGCCAGCGCAGATTTTAAACTTGCTTTATCTTGGCAGGTTTGGAAGATGACACGCCGCACACTTGCCTCTTTTCCTGGCCGCCAACTTGCTGGCAAAAAAGCATGACACAAGGTTGATGTTTGTGTCTGCTTCTCCAAGGTCAAGGAATTATCTCCTTAGAAGGCAACAGTACTATGCATGTTATGAATTGTGTCTCCCTGGCCAGTGATAAAGAAAATGGGAATATTGCCACGGCAGCTGGATTCATGATTGGGCAGGAGTCATCCCCAGCATCTCCTCCACCTCCTCCTCCACCCCCTCCGCCTCCACCATGTCTGTACTCAGGGGAAGGACTTTCCCCCTCGCCCACTCCTCCCCCACCGCCTCCACTCCCTGGGGGCCCTCCTGGCCCCCCTCCCCCTCCAGGACCACCCCCCACTTCTCACATGAATGGCTACAGTTCCCTGGGTAAGAAGAGGATGAGAAGCTTTTTTTGGAAAACCATTCCAGAGGAGCAAGTTCGTGGCAAGACCAACATCTGGACCTTGGCCGCCAGGCAGCAGCACCACTACCAGATTGA